GTATCTGCTGTCATTAGCCCCAGTGCTCCTTGGTCGGTTAGTACCGATCCACCCACCGAGGTGGAGGTCCGTAAGGAACTCCAAGTATTGAAACGCCATAAGGCACCCGGCCCAGACAATCTACCTCGGCTCTTTTTAGAGATGGTGGCGAGAGTCCCACAATAGCTCTAACTGGGTTGTTCAGGAAGGTATGGGAGACAGAGAGTGTACCATCAGTGTGGAACGAATCCATTATCGTCCCCATCTTTAAAAAGGGTCCACGTAATTCGTGTGACAATCATAAGGGTACCAGTCTGCTACCAGTTGCGTCTAAAATATTGGCTGCTGTCTTGCTTCGCAGGCTGTGCAAAATACCTGAGAGATTGATTCGCGAAGAGCAGGCTGGGTTTTGTTCAGGTCGTGGATGCATTGATCATGTGTTCACCCTTCGTCAGTTGTTGGAACACCGCCACACGTATTGTAGGCGAACGATCGTTGTGTTTCTTGATATTAGGGCTGCCTTCGATTCGTTGGACAGAACTGTGCTCTAGAGCTGTCTGTAAGAGAGAGGTGTACCTGATAAATTTGTTAACATCTTGAAAGCCATATACAGAAACACCTCAGGTAGAGTGAGGGCATACAAACAACTATCATCATTGTTCCCAACCAACAATGGGGTTAGACAGGGTTGCCCAATCTCTCCATTTCTCTTTAACTTTGCCATCCATGACATTCTGGAGTCAGCTCTGAAGGATGTGCGGGAATGTGGTGTAGGTCTGCTACTTGGAGATAGACTGTTCGACCTTGAGTATGCAGACGATATCGTCTTGCGGTGTGATAGCTTGCAGGATGCCCAAATTTGCGGGCGAACCGCTTGAAGTTGATAAGTTTGTGTATCTGGGTAGTTGTGTGAGTGCTGGCGGAGGGGTGACGGATGAGATTTCCAACTGTATAATGAAGGCTAGGGTGGCATGCATCAACTTAAACCACCTCTGGCGCCGTCGCAACGTTAGCCTGGCTGTCAAAGGTCGGGCATACAATGCTTTGGTGCGGGCTGTTTTGCTCTACGCCTGTGAAACCTGGCCTCTCCGAGTTGAGGATGTTCGGCGACTCTGCGTGTTTGATCATCGCTGTCTCCGCAGGGTTGCTTGCTTTTGATGGCATCATTGCGTGAGTAGTTCGGCGGCGTGTGTTTGAACACAGTGGAGATCACCATTTGTTGAGTGTTATCATCTGGAAACACCGGCTCCGGTGGCTTGGACATGTACTCCGAATGTCATCCCAGAGGCTTCCGTACAGGTCTCTGTTCGCTAGCCCTGGGACGGGATGGAGAAAGCGGAGGGGTGGTCAGTCCATGGCGTGTCGTCGTGGGATGAAGGATTTTTGTGCTAGATAAGTATCGGTTGGTGTGTCCCGACTCCGAAAGATAGCTCAAATCAATGGCTCGAAACGTTATCGGATATGGCCAAGAATCGTAATCAATGGCGAACGTGTTGGAATTTCCTTCTTTCTTCGGTTCCCGATGATACTTAACGAACACTATTTGAACTTGTTAAGCATGACTGTCTTCTTTCCAGATGAAGTTCTTTGTCCGTTCTCTACTTATATATTTTTTCTTTTCCTTCTTTTTTTTCTTTTGATCTGTTGTTTTATTATTATTGTGTGGCGCATCTTTCTTGGTGCCATATTGTACCAAGTTTTTTCTGCGTTTAAATAAATAAATATATAATAAATAAATACAACTTCATCGAATTCAAAAAGGTCTTCACAAGTAATTTGGAAACCACTTCAACACTACGGCGTTCAGTGTCTTTTTCAACCTTATCCAACAGGTGGCTACATAACAATACTACGCGTCAGATGATCAAAAATAGAAAACTCAGTGAAGCCTTTCGAGTGAGTACAGGAGTAAGACAGGGCTGTCTATTATCACCAATGATATTCTTATTTGTGTTGGGCTGGACTATTCCGTACACCGTTAGTGGGTAGCGAGAAGACTGGAATACATTGGACCGATAAGAAGACTAGAAGATCTAGGTTTCGCATGCGATTTATGTCTAATGTCACAAAAACTCGACGGTTTACAGGAGAAAATCAACAAACTGACTGAAGAGGCGGCTAGCGAAGACAGGACTCCAGGTGAACGTAGAGAATACGGAGGCGATGAAGATAACCAACCAGCAATAACCAGCACTAATCACTATCAACGGGAGAGATTTAACAGAGGTCACCCGATCTCATCGCTTATCTAGGAAGCATTGTTTAAACCACAGGGGGGGGGCACGGATGAAGGTGTCAAAGCCAGTCAGAATTGGAAAGGCAAGATACACCTTCATCAACCTGAAACCAGTTTGGAAATCATCTACACTCAGCATAAGCAACAAGATTTGGATTTCGAACACCAATATCAAATCAGTCAGTTCTATATGGATCAGAAACTTGGCCACCGCGTTACGCAAAGCATTCCCAACAGGTAAGAAACTTTTATCAACAGCTGGCTTCTCTCCATACTGAGAATCAAATGGCCAGCCAAAAAGAATTAACAATAAGAAACTATGGGAACAAAGTAACCAAGTACTTATCGTCCAACAAATATGTAGGAGAAAATGGAGATGGATACGGCACACGCTGATGAGACCATTGAATGACATCGCACGTCAGGCTTCAGCTCGAGTGGAACCCGAATGGGAAACGATGAGTGGGCTGTCCAAAAGTGATATGGAGAAGATCATGCGAGGAGGGGACGAGAGATTATGGGTAATCGTGGGCCCAGCCAACGACGACAGCAGAAAATAGAGCAAAGTGCAGACGTGTTGCTGAAGCCCTATGTTCCTCTCGGAAACCAAAGGAACAGTAATATCAATAGCAATAATAACAATTTCAATTTAGGAGTTCGAAAGAAAGAAACAAGATGAAGATGAAATGATCAAATGAATATGGAATATATACCAAGTTAGTGTACGAGTTAAAGGAAGGAAAAGGATATTCTTTTAATAACTTCTCTTCAAAGCTATATATATTCGCTCGGTGTGCGTAGATGGCTCAGAGGTAGGATATACGTGCCAGCCACTCCCCTGGTCTGAGGTTCGATTGCCGTCCGAAGCACTCCCAAACTACACTTAGCTGGTAATAAGCTCGGCTGGGAGGGAAGGTCGGGCGTGAGACTAGCCACCCCACCCAGTAAAAATAAAATCACTGCAACAGAAACTTCTAATCTCTAGCTTAGAGCCCCAGGTTCCACTGGGAATGAAAAGGAATAAATAATATATTCGCTCAGTCTTTTATCTTCGTCTTATTTTTTCCTTTCAAACTTCTAAACTTAAATTATACTTCTCATAAATAATTTGAGCAATGTTCTTGTTTCCAAGTACTTGTTATTTTTCAAATTTAATAATAGTAACCATTTCTGAACGATGTTCATCGCTTATTGTCTTCAGACTACTTAATTTAATATCATGCCTGATAATATACACTCATGTATTTTGTTATCAACTGATAACATTAATAATAATAGGTTTATTCTAGACAATATGCTATGACATAGTACAGAATTTTCTGCGTATTTAAATTGCAGAATGTCTACTCTTCAAACAGGATCTTCAGGCAAAACTGTAATCGGCAGTACATCTTGCGATGCTGTGTTGTTCCAACTAAAGCAATATCCAGATTTCTACGGTATGTTCTCTCTTCTGTTTAGAAGTGCTATGCATTACAGCAAACCAAAACTTTGTGTTAGACTTCATGTAGCCATATCCAAAACACAGTTAGACGATTAAAACAATAAGAAATAGAGAACAGTTTATGCACCTATACCTTAGGTGAGATGAAACTTAGATAGCTCTGTGATTTAAGCAGGCCGCCATTAACAGCAGAGTTATTTTGTTAACCTTTCTATTTATACGTTTTGAAATAAACATACATTTATGAAGGTTAAAAGTAACAATAGCAACTATAATGATATGCTTACTAATAAGTCGACTATGTTACCTAATTTACAATATTTGATACAGTTCGGAGCATACACAGTTATTCTTATATTTTCTGTTGTATCTTACATTTTCAGAGACAGTCTCAAAGAGTAGTGGAAGTACCAACTAGTAAAAGTCAACTGGTGTAACCGATCACTTATACTTAAATATAATCAATTAATTAATGAAATTCATCGATAGTGTTTTCTTTTTCTTTTCTTACACAAAGTGAAACTATGAAGACAGTCAAAAACTGAATCAATTCAATAGATAAGTTAGTATTGAAAATTTAGTCTGTTACATAACATCCACTCTCTGTTGGTGGTATATGCATTTTTACAAGAAAGACTAAACCCAGTTCCATTACATACAGAGAGTAGTAGTGGTAGTAGTAACGGGTAGACACTTCATGAAAAGAATAAGACATAAGTCAAAACATGCGCTTGTGGTACAAGTGTTCAAAATGACAAACTTAGCGAATACGATGTAATGCACACACTGAAGTCTAACTACTCCTAAATTTATATGATTATCGTGCTTGCAAGAACAAGTAAAGATAAGTACATTTACTAAATACTATCAATAAATGTAAAATTTTAAATTTTAGAAAAACTTAAAGGCACAAAATATATAGTTTAATCAACATTTGACCTTAAAAATCTAAATATGATATCTTTTTGAAATAGAATCTAATTCTTTTTTTTAAACAAAGATCTACTTTAAGATCTAATATTTATCAGTCTTAAACAAAACCAGTTCATTTCATCATTTAATGACACAGATGGTAAACAGTTTTATAATCAATAATAATAATACTCAGTGTAACACCATTACTTCGTACTCGCTTTCATGTACTAGGCTATGACAGACCTATCAGTTACTCAGGTGGAGGTAGGTGAAGCGGAGTTCAGACCCCTCACCCACCCAAGAAATGCATTTAATCTAATCGGCTACATTAATTACCAAGGGAATGAACATTTTTATAAAAGTGAGAATACTGCCAGGATAAAATATGCATGAAAAGAAGTGCGATGCTATTAACTGGAAACTTACACTTTTTTCAGTTATATCCAACGGTGGGTCTGAAAAATGAACAATAGTGAATAATCTTTTTAGACAATTTTAAGGAAGATAAAAGAAACTAAACCAAGAAATAAGCGAAATTTCAAGTATACCATTTGCTTTAAGAAGAACAAAAACTTCAACAGATGCTTGTGTTTCTTTTGTGTACTTTTTTTAGACAGAAGAAACTTTGTGCATTTGTTTATGTTTAAAATCGATAAGGATGAGATATACACCACTACTAAAGCATAACATTGGTGAACTGCTATTTTAGTCTAGTGCTTCATCAGTATTGTTATTCAATATGATTAGGAAAACATTAAACTGCGAAATCACAATTGCTATCTGAGTGTTAGTCGCGACTTTTGAAATGAGGTTCAGACTGATTAGTTTACAGGATTTCATTATGAGCTGACATTAGTTACAAAACCATTGGAAAACCTGAGGGTATTGGACAGCTGTTTCGTCCTAGTTTGGGACTCTTCAGCAGTACGCACCCATCGGGATTCGAATCCAGGACCTTCTGGTTACAAGGCGCGCTCGTATACCATTAAGCCACTGGGACCCAATCCAATGGCCCATGAATCCTAACTTCTGCCAATTCACGACCCCTAGCTCATGATGAAATCCTGTAAACCAATCAAATCCCTACAAACCAACATTACTGATTAGTTAAGAGTTGGACAATGTAGACCAATCAATCACGAATTCCCCAGAGGTCGAATTTGAGACACTTAAATAATGTGGCAAATATACAAAATTGAATAATCTGACTAGTAAAAGGAGTGTGTTTCGTTTCTGTAATGCAGAGGGATATGAAATTCATTATGATAGACAATTTCCAGATTGCTGATCAATTGCTTAGTCAATTATGATTTCGCTACCTGTTTCTGATCTTCTCGACGTTACAAGTGGGGATATAGGGACACTTTTAAATATGTAAACTAATTAACACAAACTTAAACAGTAGATTGAAATGGAAAAACATTCTCTAAACTAACAAATAAACTGTCTTCTCGGATCCCCCGGGGTTGATTAGATCCAGTGACTAAAAATTATTCTCAATGGTGTAGATATATTCACTGTTCGAAATCTCCCAGATCTACTAAGGTCTCATTTTTCGCTATGTAATTAAGCTTTCCCGCTTACATTTCTATTCAATGTAGTTCTTTTGACTTTTCTACTTTTCTCTGCCTTTTCTATAGTGTGCGACCTGAACTGCTGCACTTTTGTGCAAAATTCTATGTTGAAACACATTTAGTCACTTAGAATTAAATATTCTTACATCAACAAAAAAACTGTGGACTCTGCATGTGTATGACTGCACAGGAGTGCAGCAGCTCAAGTCAAACTCACACCAAGGCAGCAAAAAAATTCAAAAGAACTACAATGAGTAAAAATGTTAGGGAGAAAGAATAGGAACATGCAGTAACATGAGAACTCAGTGGATCTAAGAGGGGCTGTATCTGTGCAACTGGGAACGATTTTCAGACTTATCACCAAGTCTCCAGCCATTCGTTTATAGTGCTTTGAGGATCCCGACCACGCATCTCATACCTTCTTACGTGGCTCAAGCCAAAAGTCAAAGTCTTCAAGAACTGATAGCACGTTATGTTTTGACTACTATAAACTTCTCCATTTTAACTCTATGGAAGTTACCATTGTTTGTCAAGGAAGGAGGTGGCTCGATATGAGCAATCAGTTCACTAGTATGCATCTTACATTTCACAGGAGCAAATGGCATACTAAATATTCGAAGATTTTTGCTCAAGGTGTTCATCATCTTCACCTAGGAGGACTATATCATCAGCATATTCTACGTCAACAAGACTATTCCCTGGTAACAAGTCAAGCACTGAGTTGCTGAAGTCAGTTAGGGTCAGTTCCATTAGTATATCCGTAATGAAATGAAAAAGAAATGGGGATAGTGAATACCACTGACGGAAACCACTGGTTGTCATCACTTCAGTTGACATGAGCTCTTACACGGCTACGTGTGCTCGAGTAGAGATTCTTGATAAGTGGGACGTATTTTTTCAGCACCCCCCTTTACGGCCAGATATTGCTACAACACCTTTGCATCGAAGAAGTTGAATTCCGACCTAAAGTCAGGAAATATGGCGTGTTCCAAAATCTGTCGAAGGGTGAAGATATGACTAATACACTTGTAGATATCTGGAACACGGTCATCGGATGCAAATACACTAATAACTTTACCATGATTTATTCTGTTATAGGCGAGTGGAGTCACTAATAACAATACAGTAGTGGTATGACTAAGATGTTGAATATAACTGCCTTTGAGTTTTTTCTATATAAATAATGGTTACATCACTAGTCTGTCACTTCATTTACAGCAAATAGTGTCCAACTGGTTTTGACATAGAACTCTGAACAGATGTGCAACAGTTCGAGTTGGCACTCTCTATGTACCACACAAAGCAAGAGAAGACAGTAGAGAGAATCAAGAGAAGTGTGAGAGAAAGAGAATAGTGACATGGAAGAACACTAGAGTTTTATTGGATATGAAAAATCACAAAGAGTGATTGCATCTCCGTCATTAGGAACGATTTTCATCCATAACATCAATTGTCTCCAACCGTTGGTTCTTACCATCCCGAGGACCCCAGCCAGCCAAAAAGTCTACACCTTCCGACGTGGCTGGCTTAAACTGATTCTTATCGATTTCATTGACTGATGGAAACACATTTTAGTTTGACCACCACTAGCTCTTTTCCAACTTGGTTCCATGTCAGCTAATATTGCCTGTCCAGGAAGGCGATAGCTAGGCATGCGTAACACATATATCCTAACCATCTCAACAGATGTAAGTTTACAACCTTATCGGCTGACTTTCCCCCCTTACCTAACACTACGCCCAACCCCAATATTACTCACTCAAGTATACCAGCTAATATGGGAGATAGGACGCAAGCATATGTAATTAAAGATAGCTAGCCAGTATTTTCATGTCTTCCACTTCCAATGGCCAGCCATAAAGGAGGACCGAACGAACTTATGAGTAGCACATACATCCCTTGATCGATGGCCAGACGGGTATCACGTCTACATCAGTGATGACATACTTCGGGAAATGCTATGCGAGCCTTTTGTATCCACGTTGAGATTTTGTTAGCAATCAGTCCGTTAGGGTTGATGCAACTTCCTAAATAATTTCATTGGTCAACACGCCTGATCACCTGACTCACTCCCTATTTTAAGATAGGAGTCGATGTAGTCCAGTCCTGTAGCATCATCTTACATTTGACAGCAGCAAATCGTATGCAAAACATTTAAAGATCTCTGCTCAGTGATCGGAAGACTTTGCATTTCGTCAGCGTCTTCACCTAGGCGGACTAACAGCAAGTAGTAAGAAACGCTGATTTAAGATAGAGAGTTAGGTTAGTTAGGTGAATTAATAAAAGTTACAAATGAAATAAGTGGACCATATACTACACACATTTTTGATGATACAACTAACAACCGATTATAATAGTGCAGGTTTATTTACTGTTGATCACCTTAGGAAAATCATACATTTTGTTAATACTATTTTTTATTTCACTCGAGTCAATCTATTATGGTGTTAATCTACTTGTAATTTCTTCTTGTACATGTACTGTACGCACACGAAGGGCGCAGCTCGTTGGCAATAGCACAGAGCTTCCTATGTGAATGTCCCGGGTTCGAATCCCGCTCTACCTATATCAGCCCTAGTCTTTGAGTAGAGTGCGGTTAATAAAGTGGAGTAAGGAAAGTCTGTAGCTGAAGAGTGGTAATTCACTATAAGGGAAATTCTACGCTAATTTTGCCTATCTCAATTGCTAGCGAAAAAATGGTACATATATACAATGGCCACTATCCTCCAATTTATATACGAAATGAAACTTTATAAACGCGTTTAAAACACCTGATTTCTAAAATTGGTTTCAGGAACAGAAATATTTGCCCTTTCACTACAGTACCTTCCACCAGTTACTGCTAAGTCATCAACAAAAGTAAACTAATAGCTATTTACTGCAATATTCGATTTGCTATATTGTTCGCGGTTTACATAACGGGAAATAATAATATGCGAATACGGTAACACTTCTATGAAGACAAATGCAATTAGTAAAATGGCAATTACATTTTCACATTTTCAGAAACACTACGAACCATTCCCATGTCTAGTGATGAGACTTATAATACGTCAACAAATCATTTTCAAGTGTGACTCAACTCTTTCTCTCCCTGTCTCCCTCATACATAACGCTTGCATTATGAATCTTGGAAAGAAGTTACTTTTAAACTGAAAGCATCAGTGATAAACACTAACCATTCATTGAGATTATCTTCAATTCCCCTTCGACTGATTTTGATATACCGTGATGAGGATAACATTTCGTGTGTTAAAAAAATGGAGTTCTTTTGTCGACGGGGGATTATTTATTAAAATGCTACAGCAACCATTTTCTTAACATGAATGGTTTGCTACCTGTTGGATAAGTTGGAGAAGGTGGGGAAAATGACAAACGTTTGATAAGTCACGACTCCGGTTATAGGACTTCACGGTGTAAAGAATTATTTGGAAAAGAAGTCACAGATGATCATTCTTTAACTTTCTTTTTCTCCACCGTCATCAGTAGTGAAAAGTGGTGGATGGTAACATGAATGTTCATGGTTTTCAGAATTCTTTTTCAAACTACATCCTCTTAGCCCGTTTTCTCTATAACAATAGTATATAATTCGGTGTGACATTTCCAACTTTCTTCGAAACATAGATAAATATGTGTAAGCACTGTAACAAGTAAAAACAAAACATCCTTACCGAAAGGTTTTTCTGACCACTTTAACTCTGCTTGTCCTATTTCTATCGTCTGACTTGTCTTTAGAGGTGGAGCTGTTTTCGATGGGGAGTGGTTATCATCATCAAATGTAGGTACGGAAATCAGACCAGGTACTTCACTTGCTTTGACTGAAGCATCATCCCTTTTCCTATCAGTATCTGCTACCTTAAATAATCGACTGGAATCTGTTTTTGACACTTGATTGGAAAGACAATCTACAAGACCCACGTGCGACGTGTCAACATTGCCTGAAGAACATCGTATAAAAAATTGAAAAATGTTGATAGCCAATACAATATTTAACTACTCATCAGTAACTTATGTGGGATGGAAGCTTTCCCTGCAAAAGTATGCTTTCGCAACCAACATCATCAATACAATAAGCAATAAATTAGTCCACTGACAGCGATGATATAATCAATTACAAACATAACATAAATGACAAAATTAAGACGAGTGTGATGAGCAGTTTCATTATGTAAACACTGTTTTTATAATTTTACACACTGATCAAATCCAACAATCTACACCCGGTTTTGCTATCTTTACCGATTGGCCAATTTGACAACGAAAAATGACCCAATACTGAGGAACGACGATTAAGTTGTTATATAAATGCTGAGATTTTGTAAATTCTGGTTTAATAATACTTTGATAAAGCTATTAGCATTAAATAGCGAAACGTCAGTAAAAACAATATCGTTTTGTTTTTCATTAATTGGGAAATACAAGAAAACCTTCATTATAATAAACATAACTTATACATAAAACTATATGTTATAATAGTCAGTCACCCAATAAATCAGAGTTAAATTTTTAAAAATTAAGAACAGTCATACCTTTTGAAGTTTCTTCACACTGTGTAGGTGCCTGATCCTCTGTAGCAAATTGTGAACCACTAGTTAAATCTGTAAGTTTAACAGCTAAAGAATGTTTACGGGAGACGGAAGTACTCGGGGTGGTCGATGTACACGAAGAACAATATCCAACTGAAACATGTGGGTCATTCTTAGCAATACCACTTGCAGTTGATAGATTACTTGTTAGACCATTAGTAGGAGGGAGTACTGGAGCTCCTGTGTAAGCAACACAGGTGACTTCTTCGTCTTCCCCCTGATAGGCATCCCAGCGACATCCAAACAATGGATAAAAACCATTTCTACCAATTAAGAGGATAAAAATAAGGTCACACAGATAAGTATGATTCCATATTCCTTTATATTAAGCGCAAAACAAAATTTAAATCAATAGAGACTAACTTTCAACGTAGAACTTTGCACAGATGTGCAGCAGAGCTGCCACACCCCATGTAGCACAAAAAGCAAGAGAAGAGAGCAAAGAGAGATTAACAGAAAACAGGAAGCATGTCAACTTAGTAATTAAGCTGAACTTACTTGACATCCTCAAGGTACTTGGAAGTAAGGGTGAAGTTTGATCGAAAGTCCTTCCACAATCTAGTTTTGACCAATTTATCATGTGGAAAGTGAACTTCCATAATAACTGTCTCATCTTCATATCGACTAAGATAATCTTTCAATAAACTAGCAAACCCCGTCGGTTCATTTTGACCACCTTCTTCATTGGTTACAGAAATCACTAAAATAATAAACCAATAAACATTGCGAAAAGTTGATGAATTAATGGAATTAGCCCATAATATTGAAAAGCACACTAGTTACCAAAATGAAAAAAACTGAAAGATAGACAACTTTAGTACCCAAAATGAATAAGCTTTAGATCTCCGAGCGATAGCTAGTGACAAGTTGCCATTCTTAAAAATTGGTTAATCCACATTAGCATTTAGTTATCAGTGTTAAGAGTTACATTTCTGATTCACTTAACATTGACGGTCATTTAGTAGCATTCATCCTCACAAAATTAATATACATTTGTCTACCTGTGCATGCATACATGGTTGAACGTTTTAAAAACTTTTAAAGAGACATGTTCATCAAAAGATAACCCATATAGTGTAAAAATTTTAATGAATAAATACGTGTATATTTTAGTCTATTTTTAGCCATTTTCGCCAACAGTCCTCAATCACCCTTAGCTTTGTGATACTTTTTTTACTTGGTCAACTTCCCAGATTATTATTAAATGTTGAGGACACGCGGCAACGAAATGACTCACACTTCCTTCTTCATCACCTATTCAAATCACTGTAACTTAATATGGACTGTGGCATATCTCTCGGTCCCCATATTGTGCCAAGTTTGTATTTTAAAGAACAAACTAAGATAACTGACAAGTGTTTTATACTAAGCCATGAGCTAAACTAGAAATGTGAAGGCTTATGGAGTCGAAAAACTCAGTGGTTGCAAACCAGATGCTCGAGTGTACGCGCGTTAAACACAATGTATGAAAAAGGGAACTACAAAAATGCAAACTTCACAGTCTTATCATAGCTCACTTGAGTTAACTATCATTCGGGCAGATAACAATTTTAGAATTGGTACTTCCGTAACCGCCGGATGGTTCAACAGACGCTTAATAAGGCCTTTTGTTGCAGAACTAGTGTCAAAACATGCTTCGATGAAACTTTTCTGATTGTTGTTGTCTAAGCGTGACATCATCTGTTGACATCTTTCAGGCAGATCCAGATTTTGTGGAAATTCCAAAGGCGTCCAAACAGCAATCTATAACCATTTCAAAACATAAAAGATAGATTAATTCACATACCTCTAAAGAGACAACGCCTAGGGAGTATACATCGAAAGCCTCAGATTTTTGATCAAGACACCTACTAAGTGCAACTGCAAAGAGCACGTTTGAGTATGGAAAGGCAACCTACATAGTCCAACTCGGAGGTTGCCAGAGTTTTGATAGTAAATTGATTCTTTGGTTAAATTACCGTGAGCGACACCAAGACGATGCAGGAACATTAACACGGACAGGAGCTGTCCCACATGTCTGTTCCATAACTACAAAAATTATACTTATTTAAAGTACTAACGCGATTGTTCCGGGCAGAATTGCACAGGAATTGTTTTAAAGTGCATTCATCAAGACGCTCAGTAATGAAAACAAGTTTGCGTGGGCCTTCCTCCGTTTTCGATACCCAGGCATCCAAGAAGCGCACGAGAAATGGGTGGGAATTTTTCTTTAACTTTTTAATTAGTGACAAGTACCTGTTCTGAATAGAATGGGTAAGATTATTAATTGACATTGCCAGCTACTTCTTTGTCTGTCTTTTTCTCAGGAAGGATACATTCATTCCATATAACTTCCTTGCCAGATTTCGGCTCTATTGCAACGAAAGCATTGTCTACACCTTCTATTTGTTTCGGGAAACGCTTGTTCCTTTTGTGAAATCGACTGTTGTGAGACTTTTCGACTATCTTGTCTTCTTCTTCCTCCTCCTCCTCTTCTTCATCATCATCCTTTCTGTCAGTGCTATCTTGTCCCAAGTGAACCTCCCCAGCACTAGATAGCTCTTGTGACACTTCATTCTCATGCTCCGTCTTTTGATTATCAACCTCCATACATTTGAAGCTATTATTTGTGGCTCCAAAATATGCGCGGTAGGTTGACCTTAAGACGTAAGTGAAGAATGGCCTTCAAAAACAAAGTCATCATACATTCACTTTCTGTTTGAGTCATCACCATATCCAAATAACAGCATTCCTGTCTTATTTCTCCTAAAGTCTTGAATCTTGATTTTTAAATGCTTCAGTAGTGACCGTATCTTGACCGGATACTGTTTGGTAACATTAATATGTGTGAAAACTTGGGCACTATGGTAGTAAGTAATTCCATATTAGTTTGTTTATTAGATGTAACACAGTGACACAGTATTATTTACTGGATGAAGTTTTGAACAGAATTAATGGTTCATGATCATATCAATCATAATCACACGACTTCGAAACTTGAGCTTTATAGTTTTCTTTATCCTCTCCTATTTGTCGTTAGGGTAGGACTGTTTGGTAACAATTGCGATTTGCCTAGCCCCTTGTTTGGAGCGTACTGAACTTCGTCAGTCAAGTTTGAAGTGCACCTGTATGTGAAAGGGATGTCTTTCAGGTTACGTGAAGCCCAAGTTGTGAGTGATTTTATTCACATCGAACGCAATACGACAGGTCACTGACTGGAGTTCCTTAATGTCAGAATTTTTTAATGTCATGCACACGAGTGTTTTAAAAATTTCAGTGAGCTAGCTTATGACATCTAATCATCTTCAGATCCGAGTCTTTTATGTAAATGCTAATCGAGGCAGATAAGGGAGACTGTAATTACAACTTAGTGTGTGGATTTTGACGTGAATAACTCTCCGTCTTAGATATACGTGTTATTCTACTGAACGCCCCAAGCAATTACTAATGTGTCACAAAACTTGGCGTAAAAGCATAACACATTCATTCTCTCGCCGACCATGCACATGGTCCGGGGTTCGAGCCCACGCCGACGCACACCTGATATCTATGGTCGGCCTGAGAAATTTGGGCTACCGATATCCATGCTGAAAATTGCATACTTGTACCAAAAATACAGTGTGGGATCAAGCTGTAATCAAAAAATTCAGATACAAAGCATAAGTATTAGGTATGACAATAGTGTTTTCCTAATGACTATTGATAGGAGGCACTAAACAAGGTGCTACTTATTGGACGTGTTTATTTAAGATATAACTGGAGAATATTTCTGTAGACTTACGTACTTTATTTAGGACCTAGTGACTGAGCAAAGAGTTGAGATCAGTCAGGTTTATTGGGTCAAGTAGAGATGTTTTAGTAAGGAGTGGTGTGAAATATGTAGATGATATGACATTTTAATATACAGCAATGTTAAGCATGCTGACATCTAAAATATACAACGAATCTGTGTGAGGACTATGGCATCCCATCTAGATATTGGAATGAACAAAGTCATGGGCTAAATGGAAGAACATTGATTGGCGAAAATATCGGCATCTACGGAGATCAAGACATGCTGTTTGGGGAGAATCTAGACTCCTTCAAAAAAGTAAAATGCTTAAATGAGTATCATCTTCCTACCTAGTGATACATGATCGTGACCTCTGCCTGATATACAGATCACAGTAAGACATCGACCATATCTTTATAATGTCAGGCTCTAAGACGACTGTGGTTACTACCGTATTAGTCGTCCTGAACCGACTTGTGCATACAGTGTCTCTGCATATAAATAGTCTTCGCGATTGATGATCCCAACGGGGTACCAAACACGTCAAAACATAGTAACATTCTTCTCACCTCAATAGGCATAAATGCGCTGAGGTCGAAGCTAAGTCAGATGCCAAGTATCTTGGATTAAGAATTTTCTTCTGCCCTTCATAGTCATTCCACATCATCTTAGTTGCCCAAAAGATATTCCGTTCAACTTTTTACATAAGGAAGTTAAGACAATATAGTATCCCACAGTATCTACTTTGACGGTTTCGTGACTCCTCTATTCTCAATATTCTTCCTAATTGCTCTTCCTTAGTATTTCGTGAAAAACTTTGGAAAAGCTATATCGCATCGTGAGGAACACTGAAAGATAATAATAATATATATTCTCATATAAACATATAAATTTACATGAAAATGCATGCCATTTTTACAGGCACGATCAAGTATGATATAATATCAAATCGTAGATTGTCTACAAGTTAATAATGTTTCAACAGTTAAATATTTGATATATATATAAATACACATTGTCTGAACTAGGCTGTATAGTTATTGAATTGTACAATTGTCCTCCAGGTTGAGCGGGAAAATGGACTTCGTTTCGTTTTCATCCCGTGGTTGTCGGCATTCGATAACCAACCAATATTGAGGTAAGTACAACTTCTACAAGGGATTCAAAGCTGTTTTAGAAAAGTAAAAGTGCTAAGGTGAATCAATAAAGTGTAATGAAATAGGTAAGTGCAAGTATCACTAATAAATGCATTAATAAAGGAAACTCCCTAGGCTGACAACGTTCATTTGCAATGCATAATGCTACACGTATATCTCGTACTATCATGATGTCCACTTTTGGTTTTAATAAATTTTTTCCTCATGCCGGTTTTTTTTATTTTATGCCTTTTTGTGCATTTGGTGCACAACCGTACCCTACAGAGAATAGGAATAGAATAAGGCGAATCAAATTCATAAGAGGCTATAAAATGTTAGGTTTAATGGAATATAATGAGGATCAAGTTAAGACGTTATTAGAAAATAAATGAGATAAGACATTGTGAAGTGGTACGTAAAGATCCGACAATGGACAGCAAGTTAGTTTATAAGATGCCCCATAAATCTGTGCAGAGCCCGCGTGGTCGCATCTCAACAATAGGCTGAGCGAATGGTATATATTTAAAGGTAGAAGCATGATCTGTCAAGGCGTTCATCATTATCTTTTTCAAGATAAAGATCTAAGCCCTCATAAAAATCAGAAATATCTCGAGCCTTTAATTTGTATATTGCTGTTCCTGCAGAATGGGGCGATTCACCTTAGTGACCCCCACCATATCTACTGATCAGCTAACGCCACCCTCCCTCCTGGGTAGGGTGGGTGGGTGTCGTTCAAAAACGGGCTTGAGAGGAGAACAATCTACATGTACAGGCATATAATAGGTTTCCAAAGTCCAAAGTATACTACGTTGGTCTTACGTGGGCTAGCGTTAAGTTATTACTCTCGACTGGCTGATGCATAGTAGGTCTTGTTTTCGACAGTCATTTCATTACATAGGAAGCCATACTCCATACTCTGGTAGTCTTCAGATTTATGGCCAGCCATTCTTGACCATGAAATGGTGGAGGGTTGGGAACACGTCCCTGTATTATATCAATAGTTATGAGCCAATATATAGACAGATAGTGGTTAATTCTGACCGGTTGTTCTATTCATTTGAGAAAACAACTTATCCAGCTAAAAAGCTTTTCATTTGTTTCACAGGAGTCAACAATTTTCAAGTATTTGCTGTGAGTCCCCCGCTGACGGCTTTCTTAACTACTAGGAATAGCGTCTCCACTGAGCGACAGATTTTGTTGGTGGTCAGGATAATCTAACTGACAAGCAATGCACGACCTTCTGTTTACGAAATAGTGCTGGATGAAGAAGGTTGGACAAGGACTTAAGGTTTTCGGAGCTTTCTCTGTTTGGGGCGAAATGACGTGGTTGAAATGTTGTTTTTCCGTTTATTTCATCTGCTTAGGTGAGTAAACGTGTGAAACAACTTCCACAAACGTTCAGATTATAGGAATGACAGCTACGTTTTGGGGTTACTTTGAGCGTAAAATAACTATGAGTACTATGGAGCAGCGTGAAAGAGTAAGCTAAGTGATATCTAATATACGCTCATATAATATGCCGGTAAGCTGGCATCACATATCTACACTTGTCAAGTGGTAACCTACATCTGTCACTATACAAGTAATCACTCCTTACGCTCAGATGTGATTTAAGCAAGGTTTTCTGGCGTCCTTTTAATAAATCTATATGCTGGTGATACACTGGGGACTACAGTTCGTGCGTGCTATGTATCAACTCAAATATACCATAAGGTGCTTTTAGTCCAAAATGTTTCGAGATTGATGGGTTTAAGCCAAGATGAATGCTTCACTAATTAGTGGTTGTGCTTAAGAAGGACGCAAAATCACATTTAATGTTACCTGTGACCCAACCAGGTAGTCGAAACAGGACGGTTCAGTGCTCAGTTCTGACTGGTACCGAAGTTGTGGGTTGTCAGTTATGTCGAAATATTCCTACGTATGTCATATGCCCGGTTTCATTTAAGGTCAACAGTGTCAATGGAGTTGAAGATTGAACGATCAATTCTTGGTTGTTTGCTCAAAATCAACTTCCTCGATTTTCGCGGAGGCATCAATACGACAGTCATCGTCTCATCGGTCGCTGTTCAGAAAGAAGAGTTAAACATCGTCAGAAACCTTAGTTTTCTTAGTTTGCTTAGTGATACTTGATTTATATGCTGGTGTAACAATACATAATACTCAAGTCAACAATTGGTGTTCTGGTTTTTTCGTCCGTTGTTACTAAGCGTTTCTCAGAAATCTTCTAAGAACAGCGTGGGCCCGAGCGTAGCGAGAGCTGGGCATTAACGGTTTATGAGACTTTGATGACAGTTTCTGACGATGGAAAAGATCTGGCGGATTGAAACAGTTGGTGAAAGTTTGGATAGTCGCCGTTCATTTTTCCTGGTGCCGGTCAAGTCCTCTTTGAACAAGCAATATCTGGAACTTTTTTGGAATTTGGTCAAGTTCAACAATGCCTGGGTCAAAGAAGGGACAGAGTGTCTTGGATGCAAACAGGAAAGTAAGTCATGGTGACTTGTCTGTTAATTGTAACGATGTGTCTGATGTTAAGTATGACATGGTTGATGTTACTGTTTCGCCGTTCAGGGATAATAGGAACATCAAACTCCCTAAATTAGAACCACGGTGTTTTGATGGAAACCCGGCTGATTATTTACAATTTGTAAAGGAGTTTGAGATCATGTTGAGTGGTTTTTTATTAAATGATGAATTGAAGTTAA